TGCCTGTGCCTCCCAAGTGCTGGGATTAAAGGTGTGCGCCACCACCGCCGGGTGTAATGCTACTCTTACCAGAAACAAAGCAGTATAAACCATCTTATTCCACATTGGCTTCTTTTCAAAGATTTTGACATAGTTTTTTTCAAAGTATGGTCCATTTTCACTCTTTCTGGTAGATCATGTTCTCTTTGAAGTGTGTCATTCTTGAAGTCTGTCTTGAAGTGAATGCTTCCTGAGTCATTTAATCACAAAACCAATCCAATATCACTCCCACAGAAACCGCTAAGCAAACCTTGTTGCATTACAGGATTGTATTGTGGGCACTAGAGATGAGGAGGGGGAAGTGGAGGGCTGAAAGAATTAGGGGGAACTTGAACACCTGAGAGTGGTGATGGATGGGAGAGGATCCTGAGTAGAAGGATCTAGACCTGGTCAATGTACAGAATATACACACATGGAAATAGCAGTGTGGATTGCATTACTTTGTAATTGATACATAGCAAGGCTGGATGTTTAACAACAAAGAAGGGGGGGAAGGAGAATGCCTTTGGACTGATATGGTTCTTACCTCAGTTTTCCACTTCTGTGGCTTCTTCAGTTTGGGATAGTCTTTAATCCCTCCCATGTCTTCTTTTTCACCATGAAGGCATTGATCATTTTTGAAGAAAGGGTAATGTGTTTGTTCATTCTCTTGGTACTTGTCACAACTCTTTCCATTTTCTCTATGACAATCTGAGGGCAGAGTACTGTGTTTCCTGTTGTTCTTCAAATCCTCTGCTTTGTCTCTGCTGTTTTAAGAGAAACTTTCTCTATTTTCGAGATCCCTCTTCTTAGAGTACCATTTCACTTTCTGCCACTGGAATGCCCTATGGATGCACCTCAAATATTCTGAGGGTTTCTCCCAATAATTTTATTTAATCCTCTGCCTTTGAAGATGTTTTGATTTTTCTCCTGTTGGAATCCTATCAATGGGCATTGCAATCCACCCCTATTTACAGTCACTTGGATTCGGCCCTGGGAACTCTGACTGCCTGCGGTCTAGCAGGAGCATTGCTGGGTCTGATATATGAGGTGTATATTCTCTCTTGCCTTCTCAAGAACCACTGGGGTTATTTAGCTACTGTAATGTTCACGGAAACCTGAATATCAGCCCAAAAGGAGTGAAAGTTAGGGCAGAGCAATTACCACCACTGTTTGAGAAACCTGTGGTGACAGAACCACTGGTAAATTTAGAACGTAAACTTCATCTTGGAGCTGTTGCCTGCTGAACCAGAACTGTGCATTTGCACTGAGCAGATTCATTCTGATAAAGTAACAAGGAGCCGTAATCTGCTCCTTCCCATTCACCTTCTAGCTTGCAAAACAATTCTGATTGCATGGTGATAACCGAAAGTCCTGCTTCTGAGCAGGACTTTCCTTCAGACTTTTCTTCCAGAACCTGAAGTATACTGAGAACAAACAACGTTACTAAGGAAGATCATTCTTCCTTTTAATAGGCTCCTAAATGAAACCAGTCCAGCCGTAGCTGAGAGCTACAATTCAAGGCTAAACTGGAGTTGACTGAGACCTGGAGATCGACAAAACACACCACACAAAATAACTGATTCCTGCAGAGGAACAAAAGAATAAACCCAGTAGTTCCTCATAGTTCCTCAAAGCAAGAGTCCCTCTGCCAAATTGCTATGAAAGTTCTTGTGTATGAAACCCAAGAACCCACATACAAATGGGAAGAAAGAATTCTGTGGCCCCAAGTGCTGAGGTAGCTCACACAACTGGCTCAGATTGAAAGCACACTGAAGTTCAGAAGTTTCACTGCTCACAAGGGTTTTGTGCCCATTTCTTCCCAGAAAAGAAAATCTTGAGAAATCTTCAGGACAAACAGCACTCCTGAAACTTCAGGTATCCCTCTGGTGTCTGACTTGGTGTGAAAGTTCCAACCATCCCACCTTGGGTCACAGAATTCCTGGCTGACTCACTGTATTTTTATGCAAAATCCAAATAATAGTCAGGTGCCTAATATGCAGTACAAGCCGAAAACATAAAGAAATAGAAGCTCAGAGAAAGTTCACAACTAGGAAGGGGGACTTCAGGACCTCAAAAGCCCTTCCAGCCATAGTTCTAGATGATCTAAGGGCAGAGACACCCCTCCAGCCATGGTTCTAGATGATCTAAGGGCAGAGATGTCCCTCCAGCCATGGTTCTAGATGATCTAAGGGCAGAGACGCCCCTCCAGCCATGGTTCTAGATGATCTAAGGGCAGAGACGCCCCTCCAGCCATGGTTCTAGATGATCTAAGGGCAGAGATGTCCCTCCAGCCATGGTTCTAGATGATCTAAGGGCAGAGATGTCCCTCCAGCCATGGTTCTAGGTGATCTAAGGGCAGAGACGCCCCTCCAGCCATGGTTCTAGGTGATCTAAGGGCAGAGATGTCCCTCCAGCCATGGTTCTAGATGATCTAAGGGCAGAGATGTCCCTCCAGCTATGGTTGTAGATGAGCTAAGAGCAGATCACGGGCATAAAACTGGTAGCCTCACACGTTTTTACAGAGTCAAAGTTTCCGGAATTCTTATCACCAGGGGATATCTGGTATCCCATTTAGCAATACACAGTTCTGAAAACCAAAATTGTAAATTACCTGTAACATGTTTAATTTTTCTCAAAATAAAATTCATTAATTTCACCATGAGGGCTCCGTTACCATGGCAGCAAGTGGTCCAGTCCACCATCACTTCGTACAGAGGTACAAAATCTTTTTCCTGCCTTAACCACATTCTGAGAAACAAGTTCCATTTTAAAAATAACGCTACACCATTTTCCTGTTCCCTTCCTAGCATACTCTGGATGGTATGTCCTTTACTTTAACCAACTACAGACTTGAGTTGTCTCTTCAGAGACATCTTACTGAGAAGCTTATTGAGAAAACATCTCACATCCCATAATACGGCTACGTCTGTTGGACATCATCTCAAGTACTGATGTAGTTTTATCTTCCTTGTTATATGTACACTCTACAGGAACCAGTAGCTTGCCTTGTGCTCAGAATAGTCTTTATGGTGAATATTCAATGCACGTTGGTTGAATGAATTAACTAATCACAAGTTAATCTATAATTCAGAAGCTATAATATATACATTATAGAATCTATTTAGTCAACACAACATAATATAATAATGTCTTTTAAGATATGGATTAACTGATACCTTTTGCACATTATATGATTTCATAAAAATCCAATTTCTTACTTCTCTGTAAAAATTAGAGAATTTTCATATTTGGGGTTCCTTAACAAACAGCATCTGTCGCTTATTAGATAAAGATTATCCCAGACCTTGTCACTCCTTGCTACCTTTCTGACACCAGTGACTGGCTTGTACTGGCTCCTCCTTTACTGCTTGTTAATGTGCCCAGCCCTGCAAGTTTCCAAATCCCTATATTAAGTACAAAAGTCTCCCAACCTTTGTCCCATGTATCTGTATAATTTTTCACATCCAATTTAGAAACTAAATCGGTCTCATGCTCATTCTTCCAATCTCAGTTGTAATGAGACACAGACTGTCGTCTGTGCCGCCATGTCAGCCACAGAACAATTCACAGAGCTTGACACCCTCCCTGGAGTCTCCATTGCCACTAAAGGGGCAGAAATTTCCAATTGTGTTTCAGAATAGCTCTCACTCTTGTAAGGTTATTTTTTGAGGAGTTTTTTCAAACCCCACAGATTATAAATATTTTTCTTTATTTTCAAAATCTCATGAATATTAGATCCAGATGTCTACCTAAAGTGATTCATTTACCAGCGTGGCTCAACCAGGGTCTAAGAAGGAAAACAGCTACACTTAATAGCAGTCGTTGAAGCCAGATAAAGAGAAATATATGTATAAATATAGAAAGAGAACGAACTCCGTCTTTTTGCTCAGTACCTATGTGTTTCAGCAGCATGAACATTTGCCAAGCATCTGCTGTATGTCAGACACCATTGGAAGCAATTGAGGAACTCATACTCTGTCTTACACTTCAGAGAGTCAGACAGCAAAAACTAAACAAGCAATAAAGTAACTTTTATATGCAATAAGAGTTGGTAAGAACTATAATAAAAAGGAAGAGGGGAGGAGGGTGGAGACAGGAAGGCCTGGTCAGTGGCTGGAGGACCAATGTTATCTAGGTAGGTCCTGTGGAGAGAGGAGATCTCAGCAAGACTTGAGGGAGGTGAGCGAGAACATGTCCATCTGTAGTGAGAAGACTGGGGGTTAAAAGTCGTGTAGACCAGATGCCCTGTAGCAGGCATACACCTGGAACATCCAAGGAGCCTCGTGGCTATTCCAGCTAAGTTAGTTAAGTAAACAGACCACTGATAGGAACAAGACCTTGGGCACTCATGATGCTCTCCACAGAGTAGGGCCAGTCCAGTCTTCTCCACTCAAGACTATTTAACATTTTGTTTAATAAACTTATATTTTGAACATGGTCATCATTTGAGCTTTGAAGCTTTATGAAATAGGCAGATTCTATTTTCTAAATCAGCAGTCCTCAACCTTCCTAATAGTCTGACCCTGTAATACAACCCCTCATGTTGTGGTAGCCCCCCCAAACCATAAGCTTCTGTTTTTCTTGCTATGTCACAACTCTAATTTTGCTACTGTTATGAATCGTAATTTAGACATCTGCCTTTCCCAATTGTTTTGGGTGATCCCTGTGAATGAGTCATTCAACCCCCCATACAAAGGGTCACGACCCACAGGTTGAGAACCACTGTCTTAAAGGGACTTTAAGCAACTGGGGCATTGGCCTTTATGACGAGACCCTGACTGTGCCACCGTCTACACATAATGGATCTCATAAACCAGCTGCTCTTGTGTTGCTCCCAGTGTGTTCTATATTGGGCACAGGGGCTTTTCACAGGGCAGTTCTTCCTTCCCTCTGGCTGGTAATCACCAGCACCAAGTGATCAGTTCAGAGGCAGCCTTGTGAAAATCTCTGTAACACACCTTTGCATCTCCTCTATGCAGCTGCTCGCGGAGGACTGGCCATTTGGAGCTGAGATGTGTAAGCTGGTGCCCTTCATACAGAAGGCTTCTGTGGGGATCACCGTGCTGAGTCTATGTGCTCTAAGTATTGACAGGTAAGAGTCCATTCTTAGGCCAAGGCGATCCAAACCCACCATATAACTGCTATGTCACTTAGGAGATACACTATGCAATTCAATACAACCAAACTCTACCTGCTTGAGAAATAATTCTGTTTATATCTTCAGATATCGAGCTGTGGCTTCTTGGAGTCGAATTAAAGGAATTGGGGTTCCAAAATGGACAGCAGTAGAAATTGTTTTAATTTGGGTGGTCTCTGTGGTTCTGGCTGTCCCCGAAGCCATAGGTTTTGATATGATTACGTCGGACTACACAGGAAAGCCCCTAAGGGTCTGCATGCTTAATCCCTTTCAGCAAACAGCCTTCATGCAGGTAAGTTCACTTTGCTTGTTCCTTCTGCACTTTCCTTATAAATATTTAACTATTTCCCCTAGTTCCCCACCTTGGTAAGCTATTGATTTATTACTACCTTTGGCATAAATTAAGAGTTTGGATCCCAAGACTGTGAGGTTAACCATCACTAATGACCCAACCTGCAAGAGTCAGGATAATTACTTCTCCAAGAACACCCTGGGGATCCAGATAAATCAAGTTCCGACAAGAATAGCTGTGACTTTATGACTTTTGTGTCTAAAGTCCCACAGGATTGATTATTATTGTGTAATCTACACAAGACAACCCAACAGTGTCAGAGAAGCAGACGGTTTAGCAGATGTTTAGATAGAAGTTGCTTAATTTTAGTGGATTTGAAATAGCAGCCTGACCCTTATATCTCTGACGTTAAAAGAAAATCTATCATTCAAAATAATATCAAATTTTGGCCACCTACTAAAGAACTTCTGATCATAAAATAGGGAAAAATGGGGAAAAGATAGATCCTAAATATAAAACTTATTTTTAACAGGATTGGTTAATACAAAGGGGGTTGGTTTGTCTAACTATCATCAAGGATTATTGCTTTACATGTAAAAGAGTACATAAACTTTATGAACTACACATTCAATAATCAGCAAAAGAACAAGGTGGGTCACCAATGGAAAGTTGAGAAGGAGGTTGTTGTTTACTAGAAGGAGAATACCACACTGAGGACATAAAATTCTTTCCAACATAGGCATATCTGGATCAATAAGGTTTTTTGGAAGGTTTAACAGCAGAAACAAGCACCAGAAAAGTATAACTCACAAGCACTTTCTTAATTGACCTTTCTTGTGTACACTGCTGACTTAAATGGCTAGTACACATCTCTTCGTACCTGTTTTTCACAGTAAACACACTTAACAGAAAGGGAAAACATCACCTAAACACTCTAATAGGTTTAGATACTTAATACCACTAATACCTAAAAATTGAAATATTTGGTTACTCAGTGTTATCTACACATAGGAATTTTGCTCAGGTGCCTACAGCTTACTATACTATCCCAAAGAAATGAAATATCATTTAATGCAGGCCTTTAATTGTGTGTTCAGTAGATGGGACCCATGAAATTCTAGACAGTACATATGTGGAAGATGTTACAGAATCATTTTCCTTTGATGAATAGTTTATTTTCAGTTGACATTTGATGCATACATTTTTTTAAGCAGAAGATATTAATCATAAAAATTCTTTCTTCCCCATAGTTTTACAAGACAGCCAAAGATTGGTGGCTGTTCAGTTTCTACTTCTGCTTGCCACTAGCAATCACTGCAATCTTTTACACCCTGATGACTTGTGAAATGCTCAGAAAGAAGAGTGGCATGCAGATTGCTTTGAATGATCACTTAAAGCAGGTAAGAGAATGGAAGAATCTAGTAGAGCATAGCCGTAATTATGGTCAGATGACAGTCATGATGATGATGGTGGTGATGAAGACTATGATAATGGTATTAAACACTAGAACATACGTTCACTTCCTTCATTCTCTTTCTGTAACAGAAAACATGTTACATTACTTATTTAGAGACTACATCCATAATGATCTAAAGAAAGATCATTGCCTTTTGTTGTTTTAAGACAGAATCTCAATTAGCCCAAGCTAGCCTTGAATTCACCATTTAGCCAAAGATAACCTTGAATTTCAGATCCTCCTTTTGCTTCTGCCTCCCAAATGTTAGTAGTAAGGACCTGTACAACCTTGTCCAGTTACACGCACACGCACACACACACACACACATACACACATACACAATGTATGGATGTATAATATATTTTTAGATTTATTTTATGTATATGAATGTTTTGCATGTGTGCATGTGGACCACATGCCTGGTACTCATATAGTTCACAGTAGGAGCATCAGCTTCTCTGAAACTGGAGTGATAGATGATTATCAACCACTACTGGGGAACTGGTAATCAAACCTATTTCTTTTAAAAACGAGTGCTTTAATCTGCTGAGCCATCTATCCATCCCACTCCCCCAAACCCTTACTTTTAGAAGATGAATCCCCAGCGATTTTGGTTCTAATTCACACTATCTAATTGAAAGCTGGTTGCCCCAAGTCTTTATTTTTGTAAATACTATTACATATCTATTTGAGGAGAATGTGTGCTAGTTTTATAAGGGCCTGTGGTTCTGTTTCAGAGACGAGAAGTAGCCAAAACAGTATTCTGCCTGGTCCTCGTGTTTGCCCTCTGCTGGCTTCCCCTTCACCTCAGCAGGATTCTGAAGCTCACTCTTTATGACCAGAGCAATCCTCACAGGTGTGAACTTCTGAGGTAAGAAAAGAAAATACAGTGGCACACACATGACACGAAAGGAGACGTGACAGCTGTCTGGGGGAAGACAGAGAGGGTGGGAGAGGGTGCCAAGGGAGAACAGTATAATAAAGAGCAACATGCAATGACATGTATGTGATAACATGTATGTCATAACATGATGTATGAAACTCAGTAATCTGTGCTCACTTACATTGAAAAAAAAGAGGATAGAAATAATTATGGAATTGTCATCCAGATGTTTCTCCATTATCAAGCCATCTAATAGGCAGAAAGAAAACTATTTTCTTATCCACAGAGGCCAATTAAGACTCCCAATTTCTGCTTTACTCCTGCTCTAGATGAGTAAATTAGAGGGACTGTGAAAACCTTGGGAATGTGGGCACAGTTGTCAAAATGATGAGTGACAAGATGAGAAGTGTCAGATCTGAGACATCACTGTTCACATCCATCCTCTCTCTTCTGAACGCCTTGTTGCTCCCAAATGAGAATCTAACGTTTAAAAGAAAAGCTGCATTTGGGAGATGAAGGTAGGAGAGGACAGTGGAGATGCCAAACACAGACAGAGATGGGCAGGCAGAGAGTCAGACAGGTACCTCTACTGGCAAATCAATGGCCAACCTCAAATCATTGCATGTGGATGATTTGGATTTTCCTCATAAAAACACAAAGGCATGCATTAAATACACACTTGGAGGACTGTAATCCTTATGGACACGTTTGGGTTTCTTGCAGCTTTTTGTTGGTTTTGGACTACATTGGTATCAACATGGCTTCTTTGAATTCCTGCATTAATCCAATCGCTCTGTATTTGGTGAGCAAAAGATTCAAAAACTGCTTTAAGGTATGAGACTCTTCTAAAACAAAATGTTTCCTGTGATCTGGCATTAAATATAGGCTTTAAAAAAACACTAATATTTCTATCTAGAAAGAGCTGGAAAATTGCTAATGTTCCCTGCCTTGCAATGTATGTGATGTTTTTAAAACTTGCTTTTGCACTATAGGGCATATTTGCTTATAAATCCTTGTCAGTAGTCAGCCATGCCCTGACACCTTAGCATTCACCAGTACTGTTAGAATCCCTCAGGTTAATAAAGTTACTTATATTGATAGTCATTGCCACGTAGTCAAGTGGATGAAACACATTTAGATGCAGTGTTCCTCCGATCTCGGTAGCCTTATTTTTTAATCGTTCAACTGCAATTTGTGTTATAAGTAAGTTGATCTCTTTTTCTCATGGACTGTGGGAATAAAGCCAAGGGCTAGAAGATGAGTAAGGGTGGGTACCACTTACTCAGTGGGTAAGGGTGCTGGCTCTGCAGGCGGGTCCAGCTCAGGTCCCCAGAACTGATGAGAAAGTGAGGCATGCATGCTGGGTGAGGAGACACAGAGGTTGGCAGAGGTTAGCAGAGGTCAGCAGAGGTTGGCAGAGGTCAGCAGAGGTCAGCAGGTCTCTGTGATTTCAAGGCCAGTCTGAGATACATAGTAAGGTCCTATCTCAAATCACCAGAGGGCGGAGAAGGGGGAGAATATCAGGCATGGCTGCTCACATGCCTGTAATTCTAGTGACAGGATTGCTGGGACGTGGTAGACACTAGCCTAGCTCCCAGTTCAATAAGAGACCCTGTCTTAAGGAAATAAGGTAGAGGAGGTTAGATCAGGACATTCCATGGCCTCCTCAGGCACATCACAACCTCTCTCTCTCTCTCTCTCTCTCTCTCTCTCTCTCTCTCTCTCTCTCTCTCACACACACACACACACACACACACACACACACACACACAAATAGCAAGTATAAAAAGTTAAAATCATTTCTACTCCATCTTTTCTACCTTCTATGTGATGTGTCGTGGCAATATGTTGCTCCGTGTAGAATGTAAGTATACCTTCTTAACTCAGATGCTGGCAATATGGCCCCCATTCATCTATTCAGACATTCTTTCAATAATGCAACACCAAGGAAAATATGCCTCCCCTCACAAGAGAATGGACACTGTTCCTGGCATTTCATTATTTGAAAACCAAAATTCATTTCATGGTAAACACTAAGATAGTTGAAAATGTCCTTGCTCATTCATAACTCAGACATTAGTGATGGAGGAGAACTTCCATCCAGATCAACTCCTTTCTTTATAGAACAAAAACCTCCGCTATTTCCCTGAGCATAGAGTTTATCATAACACAAAACAGAAAACCTATTTCCTTAGACCCTTAGACTATCATAAAACAAACAGGCTGAACAAAGTTTTAAAAATTTAAAAACTCCAGTGAAAAGTGGAAAAATAAAATCAAGGCGCTTGCATCCTGTATAAATTTACTGCATAACAATATCGAAAATGCATGCGAGAGTAACATGTAGCTTAAAAATTAGCTAGGCAGTATTAAACTCATTGACAAGGGAAGAAATGTATGTCAGCGCCAAGTGAGAAAAAACCGATTATGGGGCACATACGCTAGTTACATAAGTCTGAACACAAGCATTGTGCAATTGTAATATTTGTGTTCTCGTGGGAAAATGTTTGACTTTCACGGTTGTCACACATTAAGAATCCCTTTCCAAGTAAATAAGACAACTTGTCAAAAATTAAGGGTGGCTTTCGGGGCTAAAGAGATGACTCGGTGGGAAAGAGCACTGCTGTGCAAGCTTGTGGACATGAGTTCAAACCCAAGCACCCCTGTAAAAAGCCAGACTTGCCTGCCTACTCCTGTAACCCTAGCTTCACAGGACAGAGACAGAGAGATCCTAAAGACAGCCTGACCAGTCAGCTAGGCAGGCACAGTGAGCTTCAGGGTCAGAGTGAGGTCCTGTCTCAAGAGAATAAAGGAGAGTGTGCAATAGAAGGAAACTACAGACATCCTCCTCTGGCCTCTTGTGCAGTGTGAATGCATCCTTGTACACACACACACACACATACACACACACACACACATAGACACATATTCATATGCTAAAAAAAAGTTAGTGACTGTTTCTTAAGTACTGTTAATTCTGTAAGTTTTTTCTTCTTTGTACTTCGTAGATGCAAAAAAATCAGCACATGCCACCAACGTGACCCCTTTTTAATTCCTAAAATTGTATTTATTACTATTGTGTGAATGCAATATGTGTATGCATCGCACGATGCATGAGTGCTTCAATGTGTGTATGCATGTGTGTGTGCGTGTGTGTGCAAGTGTGTGTGAATGTGTTCGTGTGTGCAAGTATGTGTGCAAGTGTGTGCATGCGTCTGCATGCATGTGTGCAGGTGTGTGTGTGTGTGTCTGTGTGTCTGTGCATGCACGTGCATATGAGCATGTGCGTGCACATAGACAATTTTCAGGTGTCTGTTCTCTTTCCACCATGAGTTCTAGTGCTTAAATTCATGTCATCAGGCTTGCAAAGTGCTTTTACCCACAGTGCCATCTTGTATCTCCATTGTAAGGGGGAAAGGGAGGGACATGGAAAGAGAGGGAACCAGAATCCCACACTTGCAAGGACTGCGGCGAGAGCCCCAAGTGCGAGAGCGGTGGCCGGGTGCCTGAGTAAGCATGTCGTGTTCATTCTGTTTTATACAGTCATGTTTGTGCTGCTGGTGCCAAACGTTTGAAGAGAAACAGTCCTTGGAGGAGAAGCAGTCCTGCTTGAAGTTCAAAGCTAACGATCACGGATATGACAACTTCCGTTCCAGCAATAAATACAGCTCATCTTGAAGGAAAGAACACTCGCCGAATCGCATTGTCCTCATTGCGGACAGATATCATTAAAACAAAATGAAACCTTTGCCAAATCCAAATGGAAAACTGTGCTAGGCAGAAAGGTGTGCACGCATGTGAGAGGGATTATTTTTAACTGTTCTGACTTTCAACACCTGATATTTCACAGGCTGTTTACAACCTATGAAAGCCATGGGAAGGAACGAAGCCTCCATGGGGAAGCACTTAGATTCTTAGTCAGCACTTCAACAGAGCTCTTAAAAGCCCCCAGTGCATTCATCCGCCACTTACATTTAAAAATGAGAACTTCACTCCAAAGTTCTGTTCAGGGGTTTATAATCCAGTCCTATGAATCTGGATTTTAAAAAGTATGACATTGCAAAACAATTCTTAAAACAAAGTTTTAATTGCTCAATTTGGAACTTAAAAGAAAACATTAATAAATTTAGATATATAGTATCATACCCACTAATCCGAGTGTAGCTATATGCAAAATGAGAAAGCAATATGGTTGGTATACATTTTTGGTCATTATAAACACTGAAATGATCGGAATGTGCGGGAGGGGGTGAAATTGAGAGACGGAGCTTGGATGTTTGAAATCACCATGCTCCTCACACTCACATACGTGCAAATGTCACAGAGGAAACATCGGAAGGTGTGAGCTGCTATTTTTGAGACTTCTCACACATACTCTGCAGAAAGACACAAAACAGAACACTACCTATGATCTCCTCAAAGTTCTTTCAAATATCCTTTCATGATTGAAGTTTAAATTCCATTTGATTGGCTTCATCATCTGTAAATACTTAGCTATAAGCACTACATGTAGAGGACTTAACAAAGGGCAGGTCCCAGCGTTCATAGCTTTCTGACCAAGCGATGCCAGTAACCCGGTTATAGACAGAATGTGAATTGCCTGGTGCAGTGTCCACATGGCAGATAAGCAGGGAGCATCCTTTCAGCCGTGCTGTAGAGAAAATGGTCCACAGCACAGTATGATAGCTAAAATACCATCATCTAACGTCGTAGAAAGTAGTCACTGTAACCAGCGCTTCTGGAGGCCTATTACCAATTTTTTTTTAATGTTATTTCTGAAAATAGCCAATAGAAAGGTGTTCTGGACGTGGTGCTTTTTCTAAAACTGCTTCAGGGTCTGCAAGAGCCTCCTCATTGCGCATTCTTGTCTAGTTTTTCTAATCTCCTTCCACAGCGTGCCTTAGGTTCACTCCGGATGAGCGGCGTGTGAAAGAATGCCCAAGAGAAAACTGAAGAGAGAGGAAACGAGGTGGGGCGGGAGGAAGCCCGTGGGGAAAGATTCCCATTCTTAGCCCTGTGTTCGTCACTGCCACGTCATAGCAGTGTGAAAGGTCCTGGTTCGGCTCCAGCAAAACACAGCGCAGTGTTCTCAGAGTGACTCGGGAACAAATCAAGCCCGAGAGCTTTAACCTTGTCTTGAAATATAACAGATTTTCCTTCTGCCTTTCTTTTTTCTTTTTCTTTTCTTTTCCTTTCTTTTTGTAACCCAGGCCACATGTTGAAAATGAGCTAAGAATGCAGTTTTCTGCCAAAATCCACTTTAACAATACAACAAACCCAAACAGGACAATGAGGTCAAAAACAAAGAACAATACTGAATCGGCATGCCACGTGATCTCTTCAGGAGTTAACCGCAGTTCTTGTGCATAGGTTTCTCACTCTAATTTTCTACAAATTCTTTTTAATCATAAAGGACACCCCAGATCTTCAATTTTAAGTTAGTTATTGGGTCCCCAGTAGTTTCACAGCGTAAACGTATTTTTTAATTCTTACTACGTTTTAGATTGGTTTTATTGTCGTGTACTAAATTCTTGAGTCCTAACATCCTTGTTTAACCCAAATGTTCCTTCCCTCTTCATGGGCAATAATCATCCTGACAAATTATGAAATGGCATAAGAATACTATTCATGCAATATATTCAATAAAACTATATTCCGTGTTTTTTATTCAAAATTTTAGCATACAGACCAAGGGTGGTATGATTCCTTTGCATAATTAAAGCCAAGATAAGAGAAGGTACCATCTAATTTAAAGCGTGTCTTTTAACATTTAAGTTGCCTAATATAGCAATGCATAAAGATAGTGTTCAAAAGGGTGTAAGAGGTCAAGTGATTCGTGACTTCAGCCTGCTTTCTCCCACATTATCCACTGCTATTGTTGGTCTGTGTTCAAACATTTTTCAGTATTGATGATGTGCAACGGCCAAAGGAACACTGTTTTCATCAAAATGTGGGTGTGCTGTGTCTAACATGCAATTGTAATAAAGCCATATAAAATAAACATGTTTTGTTTTGCTCTGGTCAGTTAAAGTGGCAGCTTGTGTAGTTGCTAACTTCTCATTGTGTAAGCAAAGCCAATAAACAGTCAAATGATTTAAAAGAGCAGCTTATTTTTCGCTATCCAGTCATAAATCTTACGTCAGTTGTTAAAGGGACTAGGGATGCTGGAAATGGACATTATTTATGTTAAACACATAATTATCAAGGAAGGAAAGTGGAGTTAAATGCCACTATGGTGATCACGCTATGTCTCATAACACATGTGTAGCCATCACACAATGATGGCTGATCATTTTCTGATCACACATATGTGGTCATCCTTCAGGGTTGATCATTTTCTGATCACACATATGTGGCTATCCCTCAGGGTTGATTGATCATTTTCTGATCACACATATGTGGCCATCCCTCAGGGTTGATTGATCATTTTCTGATCACACATATGTGGCCATCCCTCAGGGTTGATTGATCATTTTCTGGTCACACATATGTAGCTCTCCTTCCCAGTTGATTGATTATTTTCTGATCACACATATGTAGCCATCCCTCAGGGTTGATTGATCATTTTCTGATAACACATACGTAGCTATCCCTCACAGTTGATCATTTTCTGGTCACCACCAGACATCTTTACTTTTCCTTATCTGTAGCCCCTTTAATCCTTATTATGCTACATTAAAGATAACACTTGTGGACTACTTGTTGCATTTCATATGCCGCCTTCTAGTGTTGACTATGTGCATGGTAGAATGAAATTATCTTAGGCTGAGTACACCTGATCAAAAACTCTGATGTCTGAAATACTCCAAAACCCCAAACTTTTTGAAAGTTGGAAAACGCCACATTTGATCTGCTGCTATATAACACATTGCAAATAAAACTAAAAATAGTAAATAAAATGACATTCAGGCTATGTGTACACGTTGTACATAAAACATAAGCACATCTTCTGCTTGTACATGGGTCCCATACCACGCTCTCATTGTATATATGCAAATATCCCAAAATCCAAACAAGAGCTCAGAGTAGTGGGTAAAGAAAAGGGGGGTGACAACAATAGTGGGGACCACAAATGCGAGATGAGTAGAAGTGTGAAATCTGGAGAGACTGCAAGGATTTAAAAAAAGGAATAACCCAAGTCATGGAAGTCAAGGCAGAGGGAAGCCCAAGGGGTAGGCTGAGAAGACGGCCGGGAAGAGGATAGACACGTGATCTTTACAGCTCGAGCAGGTTGGGTGCATAATGCATGTGTGGTGGTATATCAGTGTGCTACAACTGCAATTTTCTTATATAGTCACATATATATTTATACCATAGATTAAGTCGTATTAGCAATGAAGAAGGGTTAATTTAGTGACTTGAACAGTGTTTTAGTGAAAAGTTCACTAACATGACCCAAAAGTAAATTTCAGAAAAGTATAAACAGAGACGAAAGGGAAAACACCAGCCAACTACAAACGTTAATAGTCTTGTAAGCCGAAATGAGGAGCTATTTATTCAAATACAGGCTTTCTTTACCAAATGTCCACTAGTAAGACAGGTTGACATATTTTACAGTCAAGGATCGACTAATGAAGCAGCTAAACCTTTGAAGAAGACAGAGTGAAGTGAAGCTAAGTACAAAGCAGACTTATGTGTCAAAAGGACATCCCAAACTGCCATGTGTCGCTGGAGTGCTACTTCTACAAGTCAGGTGGCTTACTTTTGTAATGACTTTGCCAAATTACATGTAGAATCATAGGCATGATCCCAGCAAGGACAGAAGGCAGTATTTGTTTCTTTTCTGGGACTGAAGGTAGAAGAAACCTTTACTCTATAGTTAGGAAGATTTCTTGCCCTCACTCTTTCTAGCAGTGACCAACAGCCCTGTACACCCTGGGCAAGAGGATGAAGTCTCTATTTGAAGAAAATCTCTAGCCTACAGACAGAGGACCCTTCACATATCAACATGGAGAGTAAGAAAAGTTCTCACTGAAAAGGGTATGTGCCTTCTCCATTCTGTGTGTATGCACAGAATTTTTAAGTGTTGGTGCCACATTTTAAAATATGAGTAAGTGCCAGAAGCCAATAAGCATCTTAGGAAACTTTGTAGTAAAAGACAGACTTAATAACTAATAGGAAAATAATTTGAGAGATGTCTGAAGAAGCAAAGGGAAAAAGTCCACATAATTGGGCTTAATCTTCCCCGAGAACTCAGACAAAGGAAGCAAAGTGGAGGTGTTTAATATTCAAAAGAACACTTAGAAATTCAGATACCACTCTTGAAAATTGAAATATGATAAAAGAGATAAAAAAAACAAAAGTCAAGACCTCTGAAGACTAAAACTGACAACAAATAGCACGTGGAAGGCTTCTACCAAACTGCTCAGTAAGCTGAGAACCAGACTGTGCTCAGTAAGCTGAGAACCAGGAAGGAAACCACGGAAGGAAGCCCAGGAAAGGTGAGTTCAACACAGGAAACTCAATGATTAATGTCAGCATGGTGCACTGCAAATACTTCTGCTTGTCTAAGAAACAGTCCATGCAATAGAAGAAGAATGGAGAAAGGAGAACGGCGAGCGAGAGAAAAGTTAAAAACAGAAAGGCTGCATGGGATACCTGAGGATATTCATAGGCATATATAGCCCTATGTTGGCAGCTGGCGATAAATGAGCAACAGTTCTAAGAAAACACTGAGAGTAGATGCTTGTTAAGGGCCAGGGAGATGGATCATCAGTTAAGAACAGTGGTTGTTCTCACAGAGGACCTGAGTTCAGTCCCCAACACCCACATTGTGACTCACAAGCATCTTGAACCTCTACTTCCAAGGGCTCTGACATCTACTTTTAACCCCCATGGGCAACAGGTGTGTATAAGGTATGCAGACATACCTGCAGGCAAAACATCTATACTTATAAAAAATAAGTAAATAGTAAATAAAAATAAATCTTTAAAATCAAAAAAAAGCAGCTATCATTCTTCCTATAACTTCTTCCTTGTATAGAAAAAAAGTATCCATTTGTAATTTCACAACTTGGATAGAAACAAAATGACCTTGTGAAAATAACACTGTTTTAATCGAAGCGGAGAGTGCAGTTTACTCTCTCTCTCTTCTCCCAGTCCCTCCCTCCCACCTCCCCCCCAACTTTCCCCCATTCCTTCCTCTATTTCCAGAAAGGGCAGGCCTCCATGAATATCTGTCAACACTGGCGATATCAAGTTGCAGTAAGACTAGGCACCTTCCGTCATATTAAGGCTGGACTAGGCAACCCAGTAGAGGGAAAAGGTCCCTATAGCAGGCAAAGCAGTCAGATAGTCCCTGCTCTCACTGTTAGGAGTCCCACAAGAAAACTAAGCTACGCAACTGTAACATATACGCAGAGGACCTAGGTCAGTCCTACGCAGGCTCTCTGACTGTCAGTTCAGTCTCTGTGAGCCCCTATGAACCCATGTTGGTTGTTTCTGTGAGTTTTCTTGTGGTGTCCTCGACCTCTCTGGCTCCTGCAACCCTTCCTCCCCCTCCCTTCCACCGGATTCCCCCAGCTCTGCCTCATGTTTGGCTGTGGGGCTCTGCATGTTTCCATCAGTTACTGGGCAAAGCCTCTTTGATGACAATTGGACTAGGCATTAAAGAACAAAAAGCACTTAGAGAAATGTTCAGCATCCTTAGCAGTCAGGGAAATGCAAATCAAAACGACTCTTAGATTCCATCTTACAACTGTCAAAATGGCGAAGATCAAGATCACAGTGATAGCTCATGTTGGAGGATGTGGAACAAGGGGACCACTCTCACATTGGTGCTGGGAGTGCAAACTTATACAGCCACTTTGGAAATCAATATGATGATTTCTCAGAAAATAAGGAAAGGGTCTAACTCAAGACATAGCTATACAACTCCTGGGCATATACCCAAAGGACATATCACTATGCCATAAGGACACTTGATCAACTATGTTCATAGCAGCTTTATTCATAATAGTCAGAATCCTAGATGTCCTTCAACCGAAGAATAAAGATAATTCAGTACATTTATATAATAGAATATTACTCAGTTATTCAAAACAATCAAATCATGAATTTTGCAGGCAAATGGATGGAACTAGAGAAGACCATCTTGCATGAGGTAACGCAGACTCAGAAAGACAGACATGGTAAGTACTTACTTATAAGCGGATATTAGCCATAAAGGATAACCAGGCTACAATCCACAGACCAAGAGACGTTACATAAATAAGAAGAGCTCAAGGGGAGTGCATGAATCTGCTTGTGAAGGGGAAATAGAATAGACACCATGGGTGGATTGAAGGTGGGGCATGTCTGGGTTGAGAGGTGAGTACAGGAACAGGAGGGATCTCGTAGGGAAAGGATGGAGGGAGAGAGTAGTGGGAAAGGCAACAGGAATGGGGAGCCTCCCTGGGTTGCTCTAGAAACCTCATGCAATGGAAACTCCTAGGAACTCCTAGCAATGTGGTGATACAGAGCCTGAACTATTCTCAGTGTGCTGCAGTCAAAATCATGCTTCCACTTTGAGAAGCACTTGGGAATTAATATAGGAAAGCAATACTTATCCAAGGACCAGACATTTCCACGTGGAGAGAATTTCTCATGGGATCATATTACAAAGACCAGAATGTTGACGGGCAGCATTATTTATTTCAGTCCACGAATTGAAACAACTCAGACTCCAGTAGCAACATTTTAAATTACTAGACCATATGATATGTCCATAAAATGGAATAAGTGCTTGCCACGAGTTGATAAAGCTCATCATGATTAAAATTTTTGGTCCAGCTATTGTCATGAGTGCTGCCCTGTGTATGGAATGTTGGATAGGTTGTCTTGTACATGTAGGATGCTTGGCAGCCTACTCACCCTCTACCTACTAGACATCAATAGCAGCCTTTCCGAGTGTGAGAACAAACACATTTCCAAACATCAACAAACACCTCTTGGCAAGGGACCAACCCTATTGCAAACTACTGGGCAACAGTATGATTCTGATAATATGAAGTTCAAAACCTGGCACAGTAAAGATATATTTACAGGGACATATATATCAACAATAAAAATTAAAGGAAATTATAATGCAAATAAGGACAACTGCTATTCTTGGTAGAGAGG